AACATGATAATATGAAGATTAGAATGCGTACAATAAGATAAAAAGTCTTAAGTTTATCATCAATCACTAAGAATTCCTTTTAAAAAAATCCTTTTTTTTTATAAACATATTTGTACTGTGTTGTTGTCATTTAAGAATGGAATGTATGGAAGTATCTTCAAATAATTTTTGAATCCAGAATAATGTTAAAATAAAGTGGATAAAACTATCGTTACTTACAATAAGAAATACTTTAATAAAAATAAAAGAATTGTTACAATTCCACGAATTAATTTTTTGAAGGAACAGCGCTTCTAAAGTTTAATGGCATTTTTTAGTGCAAACTATAAAAATATATTACAATTTAAGCTAACATATAATTAGTTAAGTATACACTAATCCCCCCTTTTTAGGCGAGTATTTCTGAGACATACTAGACATGAAAATATTACGCGTAAAAATTGAAGCGCAAACAATACTTAATTAACACAAGAATAATTACTAACGGAGTGAGATTAAACTATCCGTTTTAAGATACCAGCTTAATTCATTGTTTCTAGGTTCACTGTTTGTTCACCATTTTATATTCACGGTTCATTCTTATTACAATTTGTCAGTAAGTTTCCATTACATTTTGTTAAGATGCCATTTTATAATTAAAGAAACAAATTTGAAGTNTTATAATGGTAATGCTATAAGTATTAAAAAATAAATTACACCAATTTATTTCATTTTAAAAAAGAATAGTTAAAAAGCTATTAAAACAAAATTTTTTTTAAAATTTTGTTAACACTGAAACCAACTTATACATAATGACAGAAATTATGTAACAAAATTATTAATTACAAGCAGCAAATTTTATTAAATTTGTAGATTTGTGTCATAGTGATGACCCTTACAATTAGGTGAGAGATTGTAAGCAAATGAATTTTATTCTGTTTTATAACCAACGTTGAACATCCAACCCAATTCTGAGTTCATGACGTTCAATGATTAGCTTCGTAGTCATGTAATTTCAAACCCAGCCCAGAAGACAACGGAACTCCTGGATCAGACATTGAGGCAAACTAACCTTCGTGCAGTACTTTTTTGATGAAACCAACCCACATTTACGTTACAGGGAGAGGAAAACCACGAAACCCTCTCGCTGTTAGTCTGGCGGTAAGGGGATTTGAACCCACTGATGATATTTTGCGTGAGCACTGCTGTTGATGCGAGCCGGGCGCGGAATTCGTATCTACCAGCCACCGCTGGTATTCGAACCCGGACCATCTCAATGGGATGCAAGCGCTCTATCGTCTGAGTCACCGAGGCTCCCTTTATTAAGATTGGAGTAAAATTGGATGGTATTCATTTTTTTTTTAAAAAAAAAGCACTCTTATGAAAGTTGCATTAAAAAAAAAAAATGTTGTTATTTGCCTAAGTATATTTTTTACAAATTAATATTTTTCACATTTTAAAAAGTCAACAGTTGTTTTAGTTGTAGCGAGTATTAAACTTACGTTGAATGAATTTATTTATTTAAAAATCACTGCATCGTTTAGTGAATACGAGATCACCTGAAAAATTACAACTGTGATGTATGTACAGTCCGCAAAAAAAAAAACGAATCACCCTGAATAACTTTTGTTCTAATGATCGGATTTTCACGAACTAAGCGTCANACCCCAATTCTGAATTAAGGGAATTTTCTCCGTAATGATAATGGTTAGTGCTTAAAAAAATAAGGAAAAGCAAGTACGAAATTCCTCATTAATTTGCAAGATTTGGGTTAACATTGAAAAAGAGCATTTTTCGAATGAGTCAAAATGTTCTTAATCACGCATTTCAAGCAGTATTCATTTTTATAAACGCACTTTTTGAGCTTTGTCTTCTCTCTTAAACACACATTTCGAGCTATGTATATTTTCTTAAACACGCTTTTTAAGCTGTGCCCATTTTTTTTTAACCCTTTGACGTAGATGGGATACCGGTGTCCCTTTTATATATTTTTTTCTTATGCTCAATTACAAGCAAAAATGAGTTTTGAAAAATTTTTTTATTATAAAAAGCAGTCTAATTGTTACTAAAAAGTAGATAACCGGAATTTTATTTATAATAAAATATAGTATCCCAAAAAAAATTGTTTGAATTATTTTTATTGATGTTAAAAGAATTATCATTAATTGATTTTGTAAATTAAAGAAATTTTGATGATGAACCACTAGAACAATTATTACTGAAAGTGAGATGTGTTTGGAAAAAGTCACCGGTGTTTCATGATGTATTTCAGGACCATAAATTATTAAAATGCTAAATATAACATTTTTCAAATATTTTGACCTAAATTAATGCGAAAAAATGAAAAAAGTATGCAAAATTAGTTTAATAAAATTTCTGCATCAAAGAGGGATTTTGAGCTGTGTCCATTTTTTGAAACACCCGTTTTGTACTGCGTCAAGAATAAAAAGATCACCTGCGAAACGAAAAAGACAATCAAACGACAGAATTTTTACTACTAAATTAAAATTTGAATAAAATTGGTCAAATAGTTCGTGAGAAATTAAATTTTAAAAATACAATTATTTTTAAAATTTGATTTCGCAGGAACAATTCGACCGATTTCGCTCAAATTTTGAAAGGCAAATTATATTTTTTAAAATTACATAAACAATTGTATACCTTACAATCCAATTTTTTTCTGACTATTACTAAATAAAATAATAAAAATTTACTATAATTTATTTTTTTCGCGGAATTATCTTTGGATAAACGAATTTTATAATTATGAACACATTTCTTTTTAATTCACTTAGGAAGTTCTCGAGATAAAGTGAAATATGCAGATAAGTAAAATTATAGTAAGGGGTCCAAACTTTGGACCGCTCTTCTGGCCAAACTATTTAGACTAAATTTCCTAGATTGCGACTCCCCTATATTCTGGGGGTTAGAAATTCGAATCCGTTGCAAAACAGGTATATTTATTCAGAGAAAGTGTTTTCTTTTGTATCTGATTTCGTAACTTAAAATATCACCGCACTAATTAGAATAGTTGAGGTCACTCCTAAGATCATTAAGATTGAATCCTAGTACGTGAAGATCCAATCATTAGATCAAAAGTTATTTAGAGTGGTCCGTTTATCTTTTTGCACCCTGCACAAAAATGAATAATTAAATTCAACCAATTTAAGTAGAACTAAAGCGTTATAAATTTAAAGAAATCCTCGCGAATTTGGTGCCGCGGAAGACGAATGCACGTGAGACAGTTAAAGTTTGATAGTTTCTATAAAGTTTGCAAAAAAATTCACTATTCATCGTTTTAAACAAATCAAAAAACTTTTTTTCAGAAAATTTGAGCGTTTTTATTTTTTTATTATCATAACCTATTTAGGATATACGTGTTTAAGATATACTCTCTCAATAATTGTTTTGCCCAGACAATAAAAACCATGAGAAGGGGTTAGTGTGGACATGCAAAGGAAATAATTATTTAATAGACTTGTTAGAAAGGAAGTAAAACTAAAATATAAAAAATTTTAATCCAGAAATTTAGTCTGAAGTTCAAACTGTTTATTTCAATAATTGTTAAAATTTAATTAATGTTAATATAATTTACAGTTAATAAATTAGATATATTCGAATCATCTGATAAAACTTTTTAACGAAAGGAAACATGATTTAATATTTAGAAATTTTTTTTTTTTGAATTTTTTTTTTATTTTATTGACTTGTTTGACAAATAAGCATTATTATAGACGAATTATTCGTAATTTTTTTTAACTAAGTCAGATAACTATCTAATTAGTGAGCAATTTTCGAGTTCTTTCAATTTGCAGGACACATTTGAAGCCTAGCTCCCATGAAAGGATGAAGGTCATATTGTCATAAATATAACACCCATTGTTTCATATATCATGTAAAAAAATTCAAAAGTTCATAATAAATTTTCATACCTATCTATATACATTGCAATCATTATTAACGATTACAATTTTCTTAATTATACCTATAATTGAAAGACGATTTCAAGTAATTATTATATCTAAGACTAATAGTTTGCAATCAATTATATAATTTGTTTTAAAATTCATATTATATTTTCTCATTCATAAATATGCTTTCCATATTTTTATATGTTTTCACTTCAGTAGAAAAAATTGAAAATATTGAAGACATTTAAGTTAAGTTCTACAAGATAAAATTTTAATTTAAAAATATTACAAAAAAAATTATTTTTAATATGTTGCTTTAACTCTTACACGCTTACCTGTTTTTCTTTCTTTCATTTTTTCACATTATTTTAATGTAATTGAACGCTTAATTCGAAAACAAAATTATTTAGAGAAGTAAAATTCATGTCGAGCTCTAAACTTTTTTGCAAGTAACTGAATTACATACTAAAAATAAAATGTAATTATAAATACAGAGTTTAAAACTGTTTGATTAATAGTTTTTAAAATCACATGGATTCAAATTACTCTTAAATGACTCTTTGAATGAATGATGAATTATGATTATTTTTACAAGATGAATCAGAACAGTATCCTAAGAGTTCGAAAGACACTTAGACTAAATCAAAATTTTAATTCAGCGAAGTTTAATATTAGTTAAAAAACTTAAAAAAAGAATATTAAAATCAAAAGAAACTGTTAAAATCTTAACTAAACGAAACAGAAAAATCATTTATTTATTTAGTTTAGTAGGGCTATTTAATAGAAAATAAAAATGTTTCCTTCAAAAATTTTGATTTTTAATACTTTAAAAATATACAAGATGAAATTTTGGATTAAAATTTATTAAAAAATAAAACAATTGCTTAAATTTTAAATTATATTTTGACATTTTACACGTATTGGCACAATCAACACTTATTTGCTAAGCAAATAAGACATAGTAATTTTAAAATGTAAATGTAAGGTTGCATGCTATTTTTATATTTAATTATTCAATTTTGTGTGCAATAATAAAACAGTAAACGATCTTAAACAATTAAAGGGGTTTTCAAGTGTAAAATACTATTTATAACAAGAAAGAGAAACATATACTTTATTTTACAGTTTTTACTATTTCAAAAACAAAGACTTTATACAGCTTTCAAAGTTCACTCAAAATTTTAAATTCATCGTTCAATATATTCCAATGAAAATATTCAGTAGTCAAAAAATTACAATAGGACTTTTTTAAAAAAAAAATACAAATTTATATCGATGTCCAATATTAAATGTCCATCACGAAATAAAGCACCAAATAAATTAAAAACTGGAACTAACAATAGAAGTTTAAAATTTAAATCATATCTACAAAAACAAAAAATAAAACTATACAAGAAATAAATTCTCAAATTGATATATAAGCTTTTTGTCTCACTGTAAACAATAACAATATAGGTAATGAGATCTATAAATAATACAGCTGCTTAAATTAAATAAAATTTATCTAAAACAAGGAATACAGCTGCTTGTATTAAATCTGATAAATTATCAAAATTTACTTACTATTATTATTTATTGGATGATACTTTATGTAATAAAAAGTTTCAAATAAAATATATAAAATATAAATTAGTCATAAAATCAGATGAATAGTAGACTTAAAATTTTGATCAACTTTCAATAAATATCTCACTACAAATAAGATATTTACTGCAAGAAAAGAGAAATGTTTTAACATTGTCTAATTCCTACCATTTCAAGATCACATATATATATTAACACTTTATGAAAAATAAAATGTGCATATCTTCCTCCTATATTATTGTTCATCTCTGAAAAAACTAGTTTGAGAATAACACGTTTCACCATTTTTAATAAAATAACTATTTCACAACAGCGTAAATCAACCATCGAAAATTTTTGAAAAATTATTTCCTACTATACACAATTATATAATGACAGTAAATTGATGAAAAGTTTTAAAAATAATAAATCATATAGAATTATATATTTCTTATCTGCGTGTGAAAGAAACAAACGGTTCTAAATTTAACTCAAAATTTTCAATTTTAGTGTTATGAAAAAACATTTGTAACTGACAAACAACTTCATGTATACTTCAGTTAAACTTTATTTTATGTATAAACTCATTAAAATATTTAATTTTGGACATATGGTCATTTTAATACAATAGAGATGATTTTAAAGTAGTATGGAGGTAACAGGTGAAATATCTAATTAAGTGAGAGGTGCAAGAAAAAAGTCTTCTTTCAAGATTGTTAGGGGAAAAAACATTGAAAAGACAAGGGAGAAGTTGAAGTTAAAGTAATTGTCCGCAGCGTTATAAATATACAATGAAAAGACACTAGAGCATGACCCGCTTCTTTCTTTCACACAGATTAAAGCATTTTGTTTTTAAAATGTAATATACAAGTCAATTTTCGAATATGAGGAAGAAATACATTTTTTTTTAAAAATGGTTTCTTTAGAATAATGAAATAAAATTTCGCAACTTTCGGTGGCATCAGTTACAATTTATAGTTCCATTCATATAATACAAGTTATAAGTTCACTTGACTTAACAGGAGCTGAAGCAGCTAATCTAAATGATTATGAGTGAAAAAATGGGGAATGAATAAAGAAGTCACCAAAAGGGAAGATTTTTAAAAGAGTTTTAATACCAAGTAAAGTCAATGCATGGCATATCACTCTAATGAATAAATCTTATTTTTTTTCTAGGGAAATATGCCAGAATATTTTTAAAATAATTTTCTGACGTTTAATTTTTAAAAATTCAAAAAATATTAAAAATCACTTTATTAAATCACTTAAAATACAATGCCTCATTGATAAAAAATATTACACTTTTTAACTTTTCCAAGCGTAATTATCGTATGATGTATTTTAAAAAATTTTAGTTTTATTTTCTTATATTTATAGCAGCTCATACCAACACCATGGAAGCTGCTTAACCTAGATTTATTATAATTTTTTCACTATGCAATATCACATTTCTGCACTGTACGACAAAACTCAACAATCCAATTATGTTGACTTTTTTTTTTACTATAATTGTCTTGTAAACTCAATAATTTATTTATAGTAAAACACACAGCTGCTCTTTGGGCTTAAGACACAAATAATAAGACAATTTTAAAGCTTCAACCTAACATTGAAAGACAAGCAATAGTACAAATGTCGACGAAAATATGTATTAAATATAAGCATTTATTAAACATGATATGAATAATAGCCGCAATAGATTATAAGTAAAAGTATGTTAAACTAAAGTTAAATATTGTCATTAGAAATGTTCAAAATTATTGTTTTGTAGAATAAACTAAACTTTAGCCATCAGTCCCTTAAAATAAAACTGTTGAGCTGTGTACCAATTTTAAATAATGAATAAATGGATATTTAAGTTAATTATAACACAGAGCATATTCACAAAAACATCAATAATACAAATTCACATCGACCTTTAAGACTAAACTTACAATTTGTGTACAAATGAAATTTTCTAGCAGCAACAGCCAATCACAGACATTCAAATATCCGACACAGACCATCAAAAGACTAGGCACATTAGTTAACTCTTATCATAAGACATTTCACACCACACTATGTGATATTGCATAGTGAGATTATAAAACATGATGCTTGAAGGCTTAAGAAGCGAAAAACTTAGCAAAGGCTATAAAATAAATCACCGTCCTCTTCATGTAAAATCGTCAGCTTCGAATCAACCATGTTTATTTCATGTTCGGTTCCCCTAGAACGCTTAGATGTAAGCGTAGACCCAGAACAATAGTCACAAGGAACACAGAGCATAAGCCTAAAAATGAGTAACAAACCCCCAAGGAGCTGAATTTTATTATGCCTCGGCAATAGCTGTTCTATAAAGTCATTACAGCGAAGAAAAATACAGCTTAAGCCAAGGAACCCAGTTTTGAGGTCCTCCTCCACATTGCCCCCAATGTACTATGTAATATGGGTTTCTACTGGATGACACAGCAGTTGCACTTTGGCTTTTTCTTGAGAATCACTTGTTCCACCTGCGGTGTGTCAGAGGGAGGCATTATGACGCTGCGTTGTACCTCCACTATGCCCGGTGTAGCAACTTTGGGGGTGCTGCCATTAGCCCCTTTTCCCAGGGGCTGATTGCTGTTGGGAATTATGGCCATTTCTTTAACCTCTTTGCCATTAGGAGATCCGGAGACAAACGAGTCCATCTGATCGTGATGCACGCCATTCACAACAACGCCGTCCATGCTTGTTTCTTCACCTTTCACTGGGGTAATGGGTTTGCCCTCTTTGATCAGACTCACTATCGTGTCTGCCTCTCGACTCAGCTCACCGTCAGGTCTGAAGGGATTGTCTATACCACTCTCGTGACTGCAAGAGAAAATGGAATTAGAATAAAGGATGGACAAATTACAGTAATATACAAAGAAAATATATGTAATACTGAGCGTCGATAGTATCTGTGACTCACAACGTCAACGACTCAGCGCTAAAAACAGAAGAGACTTGTTTCACAGATTATTGCAATTTTACGTCTCTGAGCTTGCGGATAAGGCACAATGCGCTAAAATGGTGACGTTGGCGCTCTCTGTGCACTAACTATTTCTTATTTTATTTTATAAACGTAGTTGAACAATCAACCCAATTTTGGGTTCACGACTACCAGTGTTCAACTCCGTAGCCTTGTAATTTTGAACTCAATCCAGAAGACAAGGGAACTCCTGGATCAAGTATTGGGAGAAATTTGCTTTCGTGGAGGACTTTTTTGATGGAGCTAACCCGCACTTGCTCTACAAATTAATTTCAAAAAAAGGTTGCATTATAATAAAGTCGCTAAAAGTAAGTTTTGTGACAGTTAAAATTATTTTAAGTATATAATATACAAAAATATTTTTGAACCGAATATAACTTATTAATTTAAAGTGTTTGTCTTCTTAATGCTTTTAGGATAAATATTAAAATTTATTTCAATGATTAAAATAAAATTGTAAATAATTTAGCATAGAATTTAGTAGTACCACTGAAATATTTTAAGAGCTTTTGTTTGAAATCGAATTTTAAAGATAAATGACTCGAATCGAATTTTAAAGATAAATGACTCATTCAGATCATAACTTTTAAAGATCATACTTCAAAAAAAATGCAAAACATTTTTTAAAATAATTGCACTGTTGCCAATTATCTGGAAGATTTTTTTTCAGGAAAAATGGTAGAAAATTTCATAGTTTCATATTTGATTTTTTGTTAAATAAATTTGTTTTAATATAATTTAACCACCATTCTACACCAACATATTAAATATATAATAAAATAACAAACAGAAAATAAGATATCTGAAAAGTAATAAAAATTGTTAAACAATAAGAAAATATTTAATGATAACATAATTAGTGAAAACATTGGGAAAATTATTTGAATAAAATACATTAAAAACTAATTAACCATGAAAAGATAGAGCTTCTTTTTTAACTCACAAGATATATCTACAAAGCAAAATGTACTTACAAATAAATATTAACATATCTTTTACCAGACGCTAAATTTTTATTGTTTATTAAAGGTATGTATAAAATAATAGGCTCGAAGACATACAAACAACTTGAAAAAAGTTAAAAATAATTAGAACAGAAAAAAAAGTCATAGAAAAATGAATTTTAAATAAAAGAAGAATAAAAATTACTCAAGATTTAAAAACGTAAGAAAAAATTTAAAATCTTAAAAAATATATATAAAATAATCTTAACAAATCTTAAAAACTTAATTTTCTTAGAAATTCTCTCTCTTTTTTTATCAAAATTAGACATTAACTGAATAGTAGGAAGTAAGGTAATATCCAAATAGAGCTACATACACAATGAAATAACAATTTTCTTACACCGATGACGAATTTAAATTTTAAGAAAAAACATGATTAAGGAGCACATTTTATTTATTTCTCTAAAGAATTAAAGAAATCATAAATGCAATTTTTTACATTATTTTATTTGCATCAATAGACCTATAGTAAAAAATCGTCAATTACAATTTTAAAAGTTAAAAATCAGCTGAAGTTGGGTTTGTAGAAAAATGTTTTTATGAATAATTTTAACCAGTCTGGTTTGTGATTTGCAGTAGTGTCCTAAGATATAATTTAAAAAGCCAGAAACCGACCAATAGAAAGCGAATAACGTAACCAGTATAAAGAAATAAAATTGTGTTCTATATTAAACTTGGGACAAAAGCGAAATGAAAAACAGGAACAATTATCTTGGTGGGGGGGGGGCTTATTTTATTTGGTGAAAGTAAAAATTTTCAAGGAATCTGATTTGGCGCAATACATTGCAACATTATTGTTAAGCAGTAGTGTAAATAGTTCTATTTAAAAAAAGTAGTAAAAATAAAACAGTATGGCATTTATCAGGAGTTTCCTCCTTCAAATTTTGATTTTTTTTCTATATATATTAGCTGAACACTTTTCAGAGATTTACATTAAAATATCTAAAAAAGAACAGTTTATAAATACTTTTTAAGTTTATAAATAATACAGTTTATAAATTTATAACTTATATTGTAATTAAAATAAATTCTATATTAATTACAATATAAGTTATTAATCATTTATTGTTATCACATTCATAAGTTAGCCAATTCGAAACATCAGAGAAATTTTTTTTTTCTATTGATGATAAATATTAGCATAAATTCAGAGCAAAGAAAGTATAGATTTACATAAAAATATTTTTTATTTATAAGAAAAAAATAAATATTTAAACTCAATCTCATAAATACACACATTTAAAAATTGTAAAGACAGTCTTTTTTTTCTTCTCAGAATATTTAATACGTTAATTTAATATTCGAATTGTATGATAATAACCATAAGAAGCATTGATAAAATCGTAAATATTATTTTACATGGGAAAAAAACCATTGATTTTAAGAGTACCACTTTTAGTTTTAGAAAATCTCACAAAAATAAATACAAATGTTTCAAATTTTTATACAGATTATCCTAAAAATATATTGATTTTTTGAATATCAGTCTACTTTAGCTAGCTTCCAAGGAAAATACATTTTTTAAAGAATAACATATATATTAATTTCGCATGTATAAACTTTAAAAAATGAGTATTACAATTAATAATGCATGCTTTGAATTTACAATTATTAAAAACAATTTTTTATTCGGATAAATTAAAACTTTAATTTCATTCAAAACTGTATAGTTACTTCCTCATTTTGAAACATTTACGACAGTTAATTTTTCTTAACTGATAAATCTACAAAATTTATATACATATAAAAAAAAAGAACATTCAACGTTTAAATCATAAATAAAAAGTGAAACAAAAATAGAATAAAATTTAATTACATATTTGGTCCTTACAATAAAATCTAGGATCACTCAAATTACCTGATATTCAGGAGAACTAGATTAGCAATCAAAGTTTACAAAATCTTCCTTAAATATAATTAAGAAAGGATACATACTCAGAGCATACGACCTCTTCCAATAAGGACCAAATAGTAAAAAAGCCACAAATATTCCCAACATATCCACCCGACTCATGCACTCCAAAAATAAATTTAGGGAGGGTCTTAACATACCGTTCTACTGGTACAGTCACGTAGTACACATGCAGGCGATTATCTATGGAGGCCATGGATAAAACAGCTCTTCACTTTTAGTGTGTAGGATGAGGCAGATAAAACTTTTTTTAAAAAAAAAAGAATCCTCTTACATCCTAAAGAGCAACATAGCTTGACAACAGACGCAACATCCTCTTGTGGAGGCTCGAAGCCTCGTTTTCCGACGGTGTTTCATGAGCAAATATTATGCTACACATGAAATATACAATATTTTGAGCAATAAATTAGTGTGCGCATTCTGCCTCATTCATGTGTGCGTTGGCCGGGACACACTCGGCACACGACTATCTATTATTTTTGTTTCTTTTCCATGGTGTACCGCTAGCGACATTTCAGGGATCGCCAGACGAAAATGGAGAGTTTGGCTGCCAAAAAAAGGTTGCTGGAATAGAGAATCGATCGCCAAAGTATCGCCAATGCTTAATGTCGACAGCTCAGACTTAGAGGATTCGGAACAATTTTTTATTGAATGAAACAATCATTAAAGGAATACCAACAAGAGAGAATTCGAATTTAAGATGTCTAGAAAATTGCTCCGCGATGCCAAATATTGTTCGGGAACGAAGTAAAGAAGCGAGAAACATGCATTGAGAATTTCTTTCAAATGACAAATAAGAGAAAGTAAATTATATATTTTTTTTGTCCTTTCATATAACACAGCCACAGATATTAAATTATATATATATTTTAAAGTTAAGTTAATAATAAATACGCATATGTTTGTTAAAAAAAGGTTTAATGTTTGGTTTAATAATGTGAAGAATTAAATCGAGTTTTAAAAGAAATTTATAAAGCTTTTATATCTTGATGATTTTACGGAATGGAAAAAAATACATATAGTTTTAATACACGTGAATAAACAAATATATTTTAAATTTTTGAATATAAAAATAATTTATTTGTAGGAGTGAAATATTTAAACTAATTTCATGTTGTTAAAGAATTAGATAGCAATTTAAAAAGAGATTAAGTTTATACATATTTATGAATTTTTGTAAAAAATATGGTTTAGTTGATACAAATATAACAAGACTGAAAATTTTAAAATATATGTTAAGACTAGCCATTAAAAATCAATTATGGTTTGCATTTATATATTCAATTATAAAGAGTAACCAGCAACCATATCTACAATGGGAGAAATGTAATTTTGATTTATAATGAGTAATGTTCAAATCGTTTCTAAATTTCGTTATAAATTGTAAATTCGCAGTTACCCCCCAAAAAAGCATTTTTTTCAAAATCGATAAATAAAATAAGTTGCAATATAAGCTATTAAATAATACTTTTTTTTATTTATTCATGAACTTTATTTGAAAAATCTTAACAAAATATTTAGCTTCAAACAGAATCATGCAACATATTTTTCATTATAAAAATGTACCCTCAATATTTTTCAATTCAGAACTAAACATTTCACAAAATTCTTTTAAGGAACTAAGTTGATTGGTGATACCTTTAAGTCATAATTTTAGAACTACAATTCTTTGAAAGACCTGGTTTTTTGTGTTTTTCCCTTTTTTACAAAAACAGGACCTTATTTTTATGTATTAGAAAAAACTGAACTCTGACAAAAAAAAATCGATTCAACAGTAATTTTAGATTCAGAAAATGAGTAGAATTTCGATTCAGGAATTTTTTTTATCAAATTCACAAAAACAGGACTTTTTAGAAAAAAAGTATGCAACGATTTCTAGTTTTGGGGATTTTTCACAAAAACAGGATCATATTTACAAAATCGG